ATTTTGTAGGATTTATTGATATTTTTCTGGGTATGAGTCCTTTATTGAAGGTATTACAAAAACCTTCTTTCTTAAAAACAGCTTACCTTTTTAATTTCTAAAGTGTCTTTTGAAGAAAACAAATTCTTAATTTTAATAGTCTAATTAAATTATATTCTCCTGTATACATAATAGGTTTTGTTTTCTGTTTAAAAAATATCTTTGCCTAACCCAAGGTCATGAAGATAACTCTTCTGTGCTTTGTTTTAAACAATTTAGTTTTATCTTTCAAAATTACAATAACAGTCCTGTTAGAATTATTTTTGTGTGTCACGAGAGGTCAAGATGTATGTATTCCCTGGTGGATATTCAATGTCACAGCACCATTTACTGAAAAGATTATAATTTATCTACTGTACTGCAGTGTCTCATTTGTCAAAAAGGTAGGTACACATACCGTTATGTTTCTTGACTCACTATTTCCTTTCTTGGTCAGTATGTAGGAGATATCTATCTATAATATACATAATAGATAGATAGATAGATATCTCCTACAAACATATATATATATATGCCCTCACCACACTCTCTTAGTTACTATAGTTTTATAATAAATCTTGACATCTGGTAATGTAAGCCATCCAATTTTGTGAGTTATCTTCAAGATTATCTTTGCTATTCTTGAGCCCTTGCATTTTCATATAAGTTTTATGATCATCTTGTCAATTTTAACACACAAAAATATGCTGGGGATTTTATTGGAATTGCCTTGAATCTAAGATCAGCATGGGGAAAACTGGCATCTTTTCATAATATCGCATCATCCAATCCATGATCATGGTGTCTCTCTCCATTCATTTATTTTTCAAAATTTTTTCCCAATGTGTTGTAGTTTTCTGGGTAGACCTATTGAAAATAAGTTGTTATATTTGTCTATAAGCATGTGTTATAATTTGATGGTATTATAAATTATAAATGGTTTTCTATTTGTTTAGAGGATTTATGTCTCAAAATCAAGACTGACTCTAAATATAGCATAATTAAAATGTGTTTGAAATTAGCAATTAACACAGGTTTGAAAATTAGACCAGTGTAACAAAATAAAGTATATAGAAATAGACCCACATGTGTATGGTCAATTGATTTACGACAAAGACTTATAGCAATTCAGTGTGAAAAGAATTGTTTTTCAATGCTTCTGGGTAAATTGGATATGCATATGAAAAACTATACAAACCTTGGCCCCTGCCTGAAACAATTTTATTCAAGATGGATCATAGACTTAAATATGAAAGCTAAAGAAAACACTCGTGGTATGATATCTTCACAACCTTGAGTTAGACACACACTTCTTAAGCCACAAAAATCACTAACTATTTATTTTATGTAATAACTGATAATACTTAGGTTTATATTTACCATTTCAGTATTTTTTCTATTTGTCTCAAAGGCAGTATATTCCTTTTTGTCTCTTTTTTGCCTTATTTTGGATTAATGAGGCACTTTTAATATTCTTCCAATTCCCCTGTCAATAGCTTGATAGTTAAATATTCTCTTACTATTCTTTTAGATGTTACTCTAAATATTAAAGCATACATTCTGGACATGCTGGTGTCTAATATAAATTAGTCCTTTTACCTCTTCATGGATATTTCAAGGAACTTAAACCACTTTAACTCCATTTCATTCCCTCCTCATACTATATTATTGTTATGTATGTATTTTAATTCTACATATATTTTATAGTCATACATATTTTATTATCATACATATATTTTGTTTTCATTTATTTTAATTCTAGATATATTTTAAATCCAACAGCTTATTGTCATTATTTGTCTGAAAGTTATTAATTTCAATTTACCCACATATAAACACTCTTTTTTGCTCTTCATTTTTTCCATGATGTTTGTGCTTTTGTCTGAGGTCATTTTCTTTATGCCTGAAAAATTACCTTCAATATTTCTTTTTATTAGAGTGTCCTTCTGGGACTCTAATTATATATATGTTCCTCCCTTTCACCATTTTCCATTTGTCTCTGATTATTCTTTTCTCTATTTTCTATCATTTCACTCTTATCCTCCAAATGCTATATCTCCTACTGTCCTTTCTGCCAGTTAACTGATCCTTTTGGATCATCTTCATCTGGGTTCAATCTGCTTTAAACTCATCTAAGTTCTTAATATCAGTTATTATATCTTTATTTCTACAACTTTCGTTTGATCACTGCTTTTGACTGATTCCTACTATAGGGTTAAACTTGCTACCTTGCCCCCTATTCAGGAACGTATTAATCATATCTCAGACAACTGTTCTTTCAATGATCAATCAACTGTATCTCAGACAATGCTGCTTTCTTCTCCCTCTTGGTGCTGTTTCTTGAGATATCTATAACTTTTTAAAAAACGAAATGCCCAACATTTTATATTAAAAATAGGTATGACCTCTGATTTATGTTATTTTACTGTAAAGAGGATTTGATTTAGATTCTGACAGACATTTAAAATTGGGGAAAGTCACTCTGATCTATTCAGAGACTGAAATAATTTCAGGTTGGATTTCAGCACTTAGAGAGCCTGTTCAAATTCTGGTTTGTCCTTACTTCTAGGATTAAGCTTTCTAAGAGTCTCAGGAACCTTGTGTTGTATTGTTCACCAGGGCTCTCCTCCTTCATAGTCCCTGAACTCAAATTTTTATTTCCCAAAACAGGATTACTTCTAAAACTATGCTTGATTTCTTGTCCTCTTACTGACGACTTTACATGTTGCCTGTGTCACTTAAGTGTTGTCAACTCAAGGAGAAAAAGGGCAAAGAGTATTGTGCTTCCTCTTTATGCTTCCCTTCTCTTTAGAATTGACCTCCTTAGTCCCAGTGGCCATGGTGGTCTCCAAGTCCAGCTTTTATATTTCCAGCCTTGTGAGTCCACCAAGATCTGTTCAGCCAACACTTTCCGTCTGGCCTTGTCCTGGGAACCTGAATCCGACCTCCTTATGGTGTGACGTATAAACTGGCAAAGTTCTTGAGGGGGAATACAGCAGAAAATGCTGGACTCACCACAAGGAATTTCCCATCTCTCAAGAAAAGAATTTTTGCTTCTCAAATACTCTTCATGGTTCCCTCATGCTCATCTTCCTCCTTCTCTCTCTCTCACTCTTGCTCTAAATTTATACATATATATTTGGTTTGCTGCAAGCTAATCTGTCATAGCCTCAGGCAGAAGTCCCCAAAGATTTTATTTCTGTGAAATGCGAGCAACTGTGGCCTAAATTGGCCTATATTTCTCTTGTTCCAACTGAAGAATTTTGGGAGACCTCAGTATTTAGAAGATTGGGCATGGTCCAAAGGCACTTATTAAGGAGATAATAGAAAGGAGTATTAGAACAGTAGTTTTAAATGGTCCTTGGACCAGAAGCATCAGCATTACCCAAGTCAGAGTTTCAAACTCATTATTTCACAGCTGGTTTTTCTACAGAAATTAAAATACTAATAGTTTTGATCCAACCTGACAAAGCAATCCTAACTGCTTCATCTCTTCCCCTTCAAGGCATACTCCAGAGCCTCTCAGACAACTCTATCCCCCTTGACTTTGCCCTTGTTTTTTTTTTTTTTTTCTCTCTTGCAGTATGACGTGTAAACTACGACCCTGTTAGCAACACATTTTCTTGGGCCAAGCCCCAACCTACTGAATCAGAATCTTTGAAGATGGGGCCCAGAAAACTCTTTATTTTTATTGAGGTCATATTGGCTTATCACATTGCATAAGTTTCAGGTGTACATTGTTATATGTCAGCTCTGTATAGACTGCATCACGTTCACCATCAATAGTCTAGTTTTTATTCGTCACCATACATATTTGTCCCTTTATCCCTGCTTTAACATGCTCACCAGGTGATTCTTATGCATGTTAAAGGTTGAAAGCCACTTGGCTAGCAGAAGAGGAAGCTGGAAGTCAATATTGCATATATTAGTCCTGGTGTCATTATTAATTTTTAAATCCCTTTGTATGCACGAGGCCTAGCACAGTGCTGACCATATTTTAAAGACTCAGAAAACATGGTTGAAGGTAGGACCGTCCAGTTTAATAACTGAAATCATTTAATAAAAGTGTTTCTCCTTTATAGACCATCTTCCTCATGTACAAAATGACAAAAATGCCTGTGTACATTCTAAAATACAGAGTATAAATTTCATGTTATCCACCATCTAAATATTCATAAATTTCAGACAACCATAATTTGGCAAATAATAATTGATGTTTATAAGGATATCCCTGAGGTGCTACAAAAATACAAGCTCAATTGCCAAAGAAAATATACTCAATTATGTTTATATTGGCCTTAGTGTCCTATGTATGACCAGCAAGTTGCCACTGGAAAAGAAAAGCTAAGACTTCTGGTTGAGAGAGGAGGATAGCATTACAGTCATGTGCTCCATAACGATGTTTCTGCCAATGACAGACCACATATAAGACGGTGGTCCCATAGACTAGTACCAAGTAGCCTAGGTGTACATTAGGCTGTGTCATGTAGGTTTGTGCAAGTACACTCTATGATGTTTGCACAATGATGAAATGGCCTAACGATGCATTTCTCGGAATGCATCCCTGTCATCAAGGGATGAGTGATTGTAGTATCTTTTAGGTTAGTTGAGTATTTGTGTGTGTTCAATTACTCCAGGAATACTATTAATATATTCTGGGAAAACTTTTTGCTACAAAAGAGCAAATAAGGCAAGGTTAAATCCAAACAGAACCCCCAAGAAGTGAGATATTAAGTAGGCGTGAAGAACAACTTGAAGTGAAATGAAAATAATTGAAGAAATGTGTCTGAGAAGATGAACTGATAACAATAACAAGAAAAAAAAACCCAAGGAACTAAGAGTAGAATAAAACAAAAATTTTCAGCACTTAAAACTTTTTAAAAATATGTAAACAAAAACAAAAAGATATGTAAACAAATCATGATTTCTTTGGACAACTCACTGGCCCCAGAAGACAGAAGTGAGACAGGAGTCAGTCCTACCTCTTCCAGCTGTACCATGAGAGTAACATTGTGCCCTTGTTCCGCTGTCAACTTTCCATCAGCAGTGACGATCCGGAGCCCCCGCGGGGCCTTCCCGGGACATTTCTGTGGTTTGGCAGTGTATTGTTCTCTCACTCCATCAGTGCAGTTATTGGAAACCACCTTCCTATACCTAAATGGAGAAAAGCTCAAGTTGTAATCCAGTTCATTATAATTCAGATCACTCCCAACTTTTTAAGCTGGATCTACTGCCTAGCCCTGAGGGCTATCAATAACTACATTTCATGTTGCTCTGAGGATTAGAGCTAATTCATACAAAGCACCCAAAAGAGAAATCATCACAGTAACACATTGTACCTATCATTAGTACTTTAATATACCTCTTTTATTCATTTAGTCAATCGTTGAATCATTTTGCCTTGGAAGTATGGGAAATGCACAGCAGTAGAAGACAAAGTCCTTTACCTCACTAAATTTATAATGTAGTTGAAGAGACATAAATGGATAATCTAGGAGATACTTCTAGAGTTAGAATGAGTAACATCTCTTGCAAGGGAATTTGCAATTCAGAGAAAGAATAGATTATGATGAATTACATGATTTAACATTATATCTCATAGATGGCCATAAATAAGGGTATAGTGCCCAAAGCTGGCTATGCTTGATACTTTCTACTCAATAGTTCATGAGGGGTTACTCTGGCTAAACTATTGACACCTCACATTAAGAAGACTTTAGTCTGCAGATTGAGTAAATCCTTCCTACTCTTTTGCTTATTTCTTCTTGTTTTAGCTTTAACAGAAAAAAACAAATTACGTTACAAATTTATCCTACATAATTTATCAGATTCATAGTAAATTAGAATCTGTGGGTTTTGGATGACCCATCCTTAGGACTTTTGAGGCTCAGTGTTATCTATTCATTATCTTTTTCTGTGGGATCCACAGTAACTATTTTATGTAGTCATATAACCAATTTCCACAGTCTACTTGCCTAGAGTTACTGGTAGAACACAAACTGGAACCAATCAAAGCCCAAGGTCTTTCCACTCTTCTAGACCAGGAGTTGACAAAATTTTTATATAAAGGGCCAGACAGTCTATGTTTTAGCTTTGTGTGTTATCTGGTCTTTATCTCAAGTACTCAACTGTTTGGTTGTATCATGGAAGTAGACATAGATAATGTATAAAAGAATGGATGCAACTAGGTTCCAATAAAACTTTATTTACAAAACCAGCAGTGTGACAGATTTGTCCTGCATGCTATAGTTTTCCAACCCCTTCAATTCTAGCCAATGTCCTTTCCTCTGTTCCTGAGTCTCAGGATTGACTACCTAAAAGCATGATTGAGAAAGTCCAATTAAATACTGTGTGGGATAGTGCTTTGAATACTATGGACACTACAAGGTCAATTACTAACATTTAATTCATCTCATAGGGTAGTTGCAACGATTAATGTACACAGAGTACTTAAAACCACCCTGAGGATTAGCAAGTACTTATGAAATATTACCAATTATTTTTATTTAATATTATTATTATTTATCCTACCTGTTCTTAGGATAATGGCCTTAGGGTAAGTCGCAAATCCTATAATCTAACGCACAAAGCCCTCCACAAGCTAAGTTCATTCTACTTTTCTGGACTCTTTCTCTCCAACAAGCTCATTCTGCCCAGCCAAACCTCTCTTTTCAATCCTCTTAAAAGTACTTCTTTTCTTTTGCTCTCTCTGCTTCTATGTTCTCTGACATGCTCTAGCAGCTACCTAAAAGTTACTCATGCTTTAATTTACAGCTTATCTCTTATTTTTCCTTGACTATGATAGTAAAATAGTAAGATAGTAAAACAGTAATAAGTTCATATTTAGAGAGTATTTACTATATTCTAGTCATTGTGCTAAGTTCCTAACATGACTTTTCTCATTTATTTTCAAAATATCTCTAATAAGAAAGGTATTATTATTCCCAATACACAGATGAAGAAATTAAGAGTCATAGAAGTTAACTAGTTTTCTCAAGATCACACAGCTAGGTCCCTAGACAATTTGTCTCTAGAACATATCCGTTCTTTATCACTACACCATACTGCCTCTTTAAATGGAGTAGGATTATCCTTCCTCTAAACTCCTAAAGAAATCTTTATGATTTACTTGATAGGAACCATTTGTGCCTTGTATGATTGTCTTCCTATGTGTGTCTGTGAACTTTAAGCTCCTTGAGGGCATCACTGTGTCCTGAACACGTAAAGCTGATAACGAGGAGGTCCACCCTGGGATGGCTGTACCATTTTAAAGGTTGAAGTATCTCCAGAGCAGTTGGTTATTACCACTGCCCCAAACCCTTCAAACACCTCACCTACCAACCCAGCTATGCTGATCCCTATCCTTGGAGTCCCCACTTCTCCTTACAATCCAGCAACTAAAGAGTCAACACCTAGACCATCAGGCAGCCTCCAAAATGCTGCTCCTGTGCTAAAATCCCTACCTATTCTGATTGGTCCTTGTCACGTCTAAGCATTTTTAACGTGATCTCATCTGATATTTTAAGAAATCTATTGTAGGTGCTTATCAGTGTATGTTGATTAAAAGAGAAAATAATGGCAGGTAGAAGAGAGAAGAAAACAAAAAAGTGCAGGCATTGGAGAATGGTGGAACTCTAATGCTGGCAAGGTAGCAAGAAAATGCCCAGCAATGTCACGCAGTAATTATGGCATCCCGGTGAATTTAACTGGGATCAGAAATTCCCTGTGTGTTTCAAAGGCAAGGCGCTATCAAACTAAAGGCAGCTTATGCTCTTTGATCACTTAGCATCCAAGCACACCTGTGACTCTGTCTTGGCGAGCAGCTATAAAGGCGTGGGCTCACCATCACCACTGGCATCATCAGCTAGAGAATATTCCTTTTGTTTGTCACTGTTCTGACCAATCACACCCTGCTTTCCTGAATCCTGAAGCAACAGGAGTTCTGCTTAAATCCAAAGCACGAATCCATCCCCCTGGGATTCTGCCACAGAGAAGACCAGTGGTAATTTTTTTAAATGGTCATTAAAAATCATTCTGAAACCATTTTATTTCCTGGATGAAAATGGTATCACATTAGCCCCACCAGACTTGGTCCTGAAATTTATAAGAAAACTGTGCAAAAATACAGAGTTCATTTACTCAAGTAAGCACACACCTGCTTTTTGCATTACAGAATGGTTCTATTTTCATCCCAGCAGCTGTCCCTGGGTCTGAGTTACATAAATGAATAATGCATTTAATATGTTATTAAATGGGGCAGCTACCTCCGTAATAACAAGGCAACTTATGATTATGTTGGACCTAAGCTCTGAATATTACTGGGATGCATTTCGTTGGGAAAGCATTCTTCAATCCGCCAAGAAGAAAAGTGCTTTGTAATGGCAAGGGAGTCTTTGTACAATTACTGAAAAGGAAACATTCTGCAAATGTGCCTTTGATACTACCGACTGCTCATCAGTAGATGGTGTCTTATTAGCTCAGCAACTCTGACTCCATCTATTCTCTTCCTTCCTGTCTTGACACTCCTCTGTCACCTTCTCCTTTTCACCCCTACCTTGTTTCATTTTGCTTCTCTGCTGCCTGCCAATCTTAAAAAAGATGAAGGTCATCATTTTTCTTTGTGAGAATAAAACTGGAAAAAATATTGAAAGACCTCATATTCTGTGATTTTGCTATTTAGTATTTTTTCCTTGTGATTTTGGGGTAGAATACAGAAGTTTATGACTATTCAGTGTACTGTTAAGGTAACAGTATGGTCTAGCGCAGTAGATTGCAACCCTGTCTGCCCTTTACAATCATTTGGCAACACTTTTAAAATATATGGATGCCAAGACCTAGGTCCCAGGAATTATGATTTAATTGAGCATTCTGGGCATCAGTGTGTTTTTGTGTTTGTTTTAAGCTCCCCTGGTGATTCCAGTGTGCGGCCAGGATTAAAGACTACCTCCCTGGCAGTTAACACTAGTGTTGTGGAACCAAATTGCCTGAGTTTAAATTCAGGCTCGCTCTTACTATATGTACTTGGGCAATTTACCCAGCTTCTCTCTAATGATTGGCTTTTCTGTCTGTAAAATAGGGATAAATATGAAATCTTTTCATCAAGTTCTTGGGAGGATTAAATGAGATAATGCATTCAGAAGGGCTTAGCATAGAATCTGGCACATTGTAAGAACTTAATAAATATCAAAATATCCAAATGTAGCAAAAAGTTAGTATTTGAAGTATTAAATATTAACTTGCTATTATACATCAAGTTCCCTGAAAATAGAAGCTGATCTCTTAGTGCCAAGATTATCTTAAAATCAGATTAGACCATGTCAGTTCCTTTCTTAAAATCATTCAAAACTCCCTATGGCTTAATCTAACGGGTTAAGTTCAGGTTTAAAGTAGAGATTCACAATCTGTCCCCAGTGCACTTTTGTGTGTGTGTGTATGTGTGTGTGTGAGGAAGATTGGCCCTGAGGTTACATCTGTGCCAGTCTTCCTCTTTTTACTTGAGGAAGACTGTCTCTGAGCTAACATCTGTTGCCAATCTTCCTCTTTTGCTTGAGGAAGATTGTTGTTGAGTTGACATCTGTGCCAGTCTTCCTATGTTTCATGTGGGATGCCACCAAAGCATGGCTTGACGAGCAGTGCTAGGTCCACGCCTGGGATCCAAACCTGTGAACCCTGGACAGCCAAAGCAGAGCACATGAACTTAACCACTATGCCACTGGGCTGGCCCCCCCAGTGCAGGTTTTTTTTTTTTTCTTTTGAGGAAGATAAGCCCAGAGCTAACATCTGCTGCCAATCCTCTTCTTTTTTGCTGAGGAAGACTGGCCCTGAGCTAACATCTGTGCCTGTCTTCCTCTACTTTACATGTGGGACGCCTACCACATCATGACTTGCCAAGTGGTGCCATGTCTGAACCCGGGATCTGAACCGGCGAACCCCAGGCTGCCAAAGTGGAATGTGCACACTTAACTGCTGCACTACTGGGCCGGCCCCCCCAGTGCAGTTTTTAACCTTCCATTCTTTCCACTTCCTGAGCTCAGGCTACACTGAAGTCTACCTGCCTTCATTTGCCTGCTGCTCAAGCTGCCTGGGATGCTCTTTCCTCCTGTCAAGCTTCTAGTTATTCTTTAAAAATCAGCTTAGAAATCACATTTTTCTGT